CTTTTTATCTTTATTCTTTTTTCCTCCTTTCCTTTTTAAAATTATTTATTTATTCATTAAATTTATTCCTCTTAGTCTCTTATTAATCAGGGGTCACCACAGCAGAATGAACCACCAACTGTTCCTGCACATGTTTTACACAGCGGATGCCCTTCCAGCTGTAACACAGTACTGGGAAACACCCATACACATTCACTCACACACACACACTCATACTCTACGGCCAGTGTAGTTGATCAGTTCCCCTATAGCGCATGTGTTTGGACTGTGGGAGAAACCGGAGCACCCAGAGGAAACCCACACCAACACGGGGAGAACATGCAAACTCCACACAGAAACACCAACTGACCCAGCCGAGACTCAAACTAGCGACCTTCTTGCTGTTAGGCCACAGTAATAACCACTGAGCCGGCGTGCTGCCCTTTATTCTTTCTTTCTTCCCTTCTTTCTTTCTTTATTTATTATTTTTCCTTATATCCTTTTTAATGATATCGATCCTATGTGTTTGCTACTCCTTTATATGTAGAAGTGTTGTATACACACATCATCATGTCCAATATCAGGATAAGAAAAAGGAAACGAGTAGGAGAGGAAGAGTGTGTGTAGGCATGAGTGAGTGGATTAATAAAAGCTCTCTGATAGAGGGACACATCTGGAGGGCAGAGGACAACACACACACACACACACACACACACACACACACACACACACACACTCACTCACACACACACACACACACAGGAGAAAACACTCACTCTCATCTCATTACAACACACACCAGAACACTTACAGCTCTTATATAAAAGCTTCCCCTATAAAGCCGCCGGCGTGACACCATTCCAGAAATTTAGTGAGCCAATCTTTGTTTTGGGTTTTATTTTTTGGCCTTCTGTCTTTATTAGATACAGCGACGGGGAACTGGACCACATATCAGAATTAAACACACCTTTAAAATAGATTGTATGAGCACACACGCACGCGCGCACACACACACACAGTCACTGATGCAGGAAAATGTAGATGAATTCTCACACACTCCTGTGCAGTAAGCTGGTGAAAAACTGCAGGAGTAAGAGAAAAGCCGAGTCAGCAGATCCTGAAACTGCAGCTCAGTGGGAGAATCCTCAGAGAAGAGCACAACTCAATCCATAGAGCAACCAATCACACGCCACTATTTTTAAAAACAATAAGGGACCAATCACATGACATCATCCCCTTACTGATAGAGCAACCAATCACATACCACCATTCTCATGACCAATCAAGCAACCAATTACACGCTACCATTCTCATGACATCATTCCGCTTACTGATAGAGCGACCAATCACACACTACCATTCTCATAACCAATCAAGCAACCAATCAAAAGCCACCAATCTCATAACAAATCAAGCAACTAATCACATGCCATTATTACATCATTAATAAAGCGACCAATGACATGGCACCATTCTCTTAACCGATAAGTGACCAATCACACACTATTATTTCACTCACCTGATTGATGAATGACAACACCATTCTCATAACTAATCAGGCAACCAATCACATGCCACTATTCTCAAAACCATTAAAGTGACCAATCACACGACAGCATTCCCCTCACTAAAAGAGTGACCAATCACACGCCACTATTCTCATGACCAATCAAGTGACCAATCACACGCTGTCACTAATCATCTAAGAATAAAAACTAACTAATGTTATTTGTGTTACTAACTGCTGAAATGAAAGTGTGTGTGTGAGTGTGTGTGTGTGTGTGTGTGTGTGTGTGTGTGAGTGTGTGTGTGTGTGTGTGTGTGTGTGTGTGTGTGTGTGTGTGTGTGTGT